AACATCATCAGCTACAATTGAGGCGGCACAAGCAACCGTCTCTATAAGATGAACAGGTTTTATTATTGTCCTTTTTGGCCTGCTAGTTACAATTGATTCAAGTTGTTGTTGAGGTTCCTGAGTTGAAATCTCCCTCTCTACTGACTCTTCTTCCAGAGGATAATCTTCATTTGTTTCCTCCTCTGCTTCTTGTGTAGGAAAAATAAATTTTTCCTCAAACTCCACCTGCTTAGAAGCACCCTCATTTTGTTTGGTATCTTCTGGTACCTTACTTACCATAGAAGATTCAACAAAGGTAACATCCCTGCTGAATATTACTTTCTTTGTCATAGGACATCATAAGCGATATCCTTTGACTCCAGAAGTAATCCCCATAAAAATAGCCTTCTTTGACCTTGGATCTAATTTTGACTCTGTCACATGATAATATGCAGTTGAGCCAAATACGTGCAAAGAGTCATAATCTACAGCAGACTTTCCATACCATTTTTCAAATGGCGTCTTGCCATCAATAGCAGCAGATGGTAGACGAATAATAAGGTGGCATGCATATGTAACTGCCTCAGCCCAAAATTCTTTGCCCAAGCCATCATTGGACAACATACATCGTACCTTCTCCATCAAGGTCCGGTTCATACGCTCTGCCACTCCATTCTGTTGTGGTGTATGTCTGACAGTAAAGTGTCGGACAATGCCATCATTTTCATAGACCTTATTGAAATGATCAATTTTGTATTCACCTCCATTGTCCGTGCGAATACACTTGATCCTCCTGCCTGTTTGATTCTCCACCAGTTTTCCATTTAAGAAAAATTCCCAACACTTCATCTTTGCTCTTCATTGTATACACCCATACTCTTCGGGAAAAATCATCAACAAAGGTTACAAAATAGTGCTTCCCACCCAATGAAGGTGTTTTGGAAGGACCCCAAACATCAGAGTGTACATAATCCAAAATGCCTTTAGTATTATGGATTGCTGTACCAAATTTAACCCTTGTCTATTTCCCTTAGACACAATGCTCGCAAAACTCCAAGTTGCAAGCCTTTACTCTTTTTAACAATCCTTGATCTGATAAAGTTTTCAAGGATTTTCCTCCAGCATGTCCCAAGTGCATGTGCCATAGCCTGGTTACTTCTGCCTCTTTTTCGTCACTGGATGTTACTGTCGCTGTCCCAATAACTATACTAACGCTATAACGGTACATGTTATTGTCTTCCAATTGGCCTTCATTACCACTAATGCACCGGAGCATACTCTCATCACTCCATTTTCTGCAATGATTTTGAACCCTTTTGATTCTAGGGCTCCCACAAAGATGAGATTTTTCTTCAAACTCGGTACATATCGAACATCTATTAATGTTCTGATCATTCTATCATGGTTCCTTAATCGTATTGAANCTCCCTTTCTTTGTTCATAGCTGTACAACGCCGAACAAACTTCTCTGAGAGAAATTTCGTCATTTTCATGGAGTTGAGTAGTTTCAAGGTGCTCGTACTCATTAGGAAGTGACCCCAACAACATCAAGGCCAAGTCACTATCATTAAAAGTTGCATCCATATTTTGCAAATCTGAGACCAACTTATTGAAACTGGTGATATGTTCATTCATCGTAGTACCGGGAACATAGGTGAAGCGAAACAGTCTCTTCTTCATGTACAATTTATTTTGACTATTTTTCTTCAAAAATTTATCCTCCAGTGCTTTCCATAATTTACTTGCAGAAGTTTCCGTTGTGTATGGATATTTCTGCTCTCTAGCAAGGTAGGATCGAATGGTACCGCAAGCAACACGTTTGATAATTCTCCAATCTTCTTCTCCAATAACATCTGGTCTTTTTTCTTCAATGGTAAGATCTAGCCCTTGTTGATAAAGGACGTCTAGAACCTAGCCTTGCCACATCCCAAATGTCCTGACCCGTCAAAAATTTCTACCGCAAATTTTGCATTTGACACAATTCTTGTCATAAGCGAAGATGCCAATGATGACGTATTGTTGACACTTGATGTAAATTCTTCTTGTTTATTCTCTCCCATCTTTGACACAAATATTATTTAATAGCTGACGACACAAATCAAGATTATTTCCTTTCTGGTGTGGAAGATCAGATTAAGCTGCAGCCACAGAGCATACTCAGACAGAACCTTGACTCAGTTACCAAGATAAATCTTTTCTGATGTGGAAGATCAGACTATGCTGCAACCACAGAGCATATTTAGATAGTACCTTGGCTCTGATACCAATTGTTGCGGAAGCCAAATGTATATAATGTGAATGAGTCACAACTACTATACCAAAAATTATAACAGCCACCAAATAATAAATAAGACAATAAAGCAACAATAAAAGGAACACGAGAATTTACGAGGTTCGACCAATTTTGCCTACTTCCTCGGGCACAACCAATATTTTATTCCACTCCAAAAATACAAGTGAAATAATACTAAAGAGAGAAGATACAAATGCCTTAAGAAGATAAGAAGGCAAATGAGAGGTGTGTTTTAAATCCCAAACATTAGGCCTTCTTTTATAGGGAGAAATTCTTCCCAAATTAAGTCTCCCACATATGTGAGAGTTTGCCATTTTCAACACAAGAATATACCATAAGCATAAACTGTGTCTTCCACGGAAGAAAGTTTGAAGAAGTGAGTTTCACAGGCAATTGATGTGCGAGATTTGGAGAAGGAGAGACAACAGATAGGCTTGAAGCCATTGAAGAGCTGCTGTTTTCACCCATGGAAGCGTAGAAAAAATTGGGTTGGTTTAACCTCTAATGGCTCTTGATACCATGTAGAAAACGCTTCTCAACTCATATTCTCGTGTGCAAATACACTAATATATACATGAGTTTCTTAGAGAATAAGACTGTAAAGTTGTGACTGCTACGGATTCCTAATGACAGAATACTTACAACATCTTCAGGCCAATCCTAATATTCAGCAATTACATACAAATGGACTTCCACACAAACTCCTACGTGACATTATCCTTACACTGGATTATCATTAAAGAAATATTTCATAATCCAAAGTATTCATGTGATCAAACTTCATATTGTAAGGTGCAAAATTTGTAATTTCATTATTTCATCTCTTTATTCATTTTTCTTATTTATCCTAACTTCAAGACTCGTAAGTTGTAACTATTCTGGTAGCAACCTTTTTCTTTTGAACAATGTTATGTGATGCGAATCCGAATGAGTTGAGGTCTTAATGTAAATGCCGGTCATCGAATAAACAAAAATACTTTGTATCAAAAGTGAACATGCATGCTAGTGATATCGTGTTAAGTTGCTCAAGCGAGCATCTCTTTCGAGAGCTTAATTTATAGGACTAGGGTGAACATCAGTAGATTTTAGACTTTTCAATTAGCTACTTTTACTTCTTTTGGTCTATTTTAGTTATCATATTTCTTTTCTATACGCCCGTCAAGAAATTATCAATAAGAAAGACTTTTTGACTATTATACCTTTATATATATCTTCATATTTCTGTGATAAGAAAAAGGGCTTTTTAACTATTATACCCTTATATATATCTTCATATTTATGTTTTTCATGCTATATAATTAATTATTTTTTTAAGAATAATTAATACTAAGAATAAGATGAGAAAAAATAATTAAGTATATCTTGAGTATTTAAACTGATAAGCATGTTGGACCAATTATTTTGAGTAACCATGACAACTAAAATGGACGGGAGAGTAATAAATAACCCTAGAATTGTGAAAGAAATGATAATCTCGGGCCTAATTTAAAAAAGAAAAAAGAATTTAAAATGTGTAGCGTAAAACAAATCTTAAATATTTATTTGTAATATATAATATTCATTAATTTATTTCTTGATTTAAAAAAGTTTCATTCTTTTTGGAGCAATTATATAAATATAAATTGAAATAGAAGCAATAATATCAAGTTAGTTGAGTTGCTCCAGCAAGTCAGGCGCGGATCTAGAGCAAAGGATACAGGTTTTCTTGAACCTATTAACTTTTGCATATACCCTATATTTGTACTAAAAATTCATTAAAAGTATAAGAATATTTAGCTTGGAACCCAGTTTGTTGGTCCAGTTATCATGTAGATTAACTTGAGATTATTATAGAAACCCATAAACTTAAAATTCTGAATCCGCCTCTGCAGCGAGTATCTCTTTCGGCAGCTTAATTTATAAGACCAGATAGAACACTCGTACATTTAAGATTTCTTATCTTAAAATAACTACTTGAAAATAATCCTAAGACTATGAATTAAAAGATTATCTCGGAGCTAACTAGAAGTACTAATGGCAATTTTTCAATCTGCATGCATTTTCACTTGATTAAGTGCTGAAAATCAAGGACAAAGCGCCACGTGTCCATACAACACAGACCACAAAAACTCAGAGAGAGAGAGAGAGAGAGAAGTTGACATCTCTCGTGCCTGGAGCGTGACTAAAAGAAAAGGCAAGTGATGGATTTAATGCTCACCAACAGTGCAGCCATTTCATTATCTCAGATTTCACACTGAAACTTAGGGGTCGTTTGGCTGGATACATTAAAGAAAAAATATTTCTCCGTTTGTTGAAAAATTGCAATGTGTATATAAGTAAAATATTACGTTTTAGAGGTATATAACATATATTGAACACTCTTTGTCAGGATTTTTTTCTTCACTTTTTTCAAATTTGAATACCATTGAAAAATTTACTAGCTTAGCGAGTCCCTAAAATATCTTAAAGCTTAAGAATATAGAGGGTATTTTTATAAATAACTAATTTTCTTAAAAATTATGCGATGCATTTTAACTTTTAATATATCATACTAAACAGTGAATAAGAAATAATCTCTGCATAGCTTATGTTTGCATGACTAACATATACATGATTAATTCCTGTATTAATACATCTTATTCAGCACTATTTTTATATACCCCGCCAAACGACCCCTTATTTATTGTTCTCTTGGGTCCATTAGTGGGGTCTTATACTAATTTGTACAGCTATTGTTGATTACTGCTTCTGTCCCCACACCACTTAAGAGCACCTCATTCATGGCTTCTCCCCAACTCACTCACCACTTTCTGCATTTTCCAGTGCTCACTTTGCTGTAAACTACAGTTATTTCTTAGCTGAAAATTCAAGATTTGCTATTAATTCTTGACCCTTTTGGCCCTTCTTGGATTTGCTTTTATTTTTGGATTCTCTTTTTGGGTCTTGAAGCAAAGGAAGGCATAAAATGAGAGGAGGGGTCAGTGGAAGTTTCAAACTTGAGCTTCTGGTTGTATTTATACTGCTGCTTTGTAGGTGTTTTATGCCCTTTTGAGCTTTTCTTGGTTTATTTTGCTTATTTCTTGGATGATCTGTGAGTATAGTCTTGAAATTTACCAAATTTTGCTAAAAACCCAGCTGGGTTTTAATAAAGTTTACTGCTTTATGTTTATATTAAGTAACAAGAAAATATTGTTACTTGGGGATTTTTAATGTTCTCTTTGTATAGTTCTGATGGATTTAAGTTATATGTACCAACAATGTAAAGAGTTTTTACGCCATCAACTCAATTTTAACTGGCTATAGCAGGTTGTTACTCGAATAAATTACCATATCATACTTGCCAAAGATTTACCTATTGTTCTAAGTCAAATTAATCTGTGTAGCCAGTGACGAAGTCAGGAATTTCCCCCGGGTGTTCAAACTTGAAAGAAGTAAAAAGAAAAATCTCAGTGTTCAATATATGTTATATACCTCTAAAACCTAATATTTACCTACCAGAGTGTAGCTTCGCCCCTGTCTGTAGCGTAAAAAAGTTATACACTGACAATGCACAAAACTTAAACTCTTCCCTAATACTGTAGGATATGAGTTTTCCTTTAGGCCATGTTAAGGGTGTGAGTTGATATTTTTTACTTCAAAATTCTCTGTTTTTATGTTTTTTGTTAGATGGTCGTCTGTCAATTTGTATCAGCTAGATACTATATTGAGCTACTTTACCAAGATTTGATTGTCTATGAAGAACAATGTTTGTGTTTCTAAAATTTTTATTGTGAATGAGTAGCTGGAACTGTTTCATAGGATCACTGAAATTGGGATTAAGAAGGGGATACACTTTCTTCAAGAAGTCCGCATTTATGCTGTCATCCTTCCAAGATAAACCTCAATTGGATATATATGTGTGTGTGGGCTCGTGTCCTTTGATAAGTATTCTTTAGTAGTTTAGTTGTGTATTATGTTAATCTTATTAGCCATTTCAAAGAAAAATGTTAGAAGTATCTTATTTTATCCTCTGCGTCGGCTGGAGAACATATTCTGCTTGGAGACCTTGAATGTGATGTTCTCTTTCCTTTGCATCTCCTGCTGCTTGAATCAGTTATACTGTTGTAAATTTCTTTGATCTTAGGAAGTCAATTATTTAGATTCATAGGAATTCATACAACTTTGCATATGGACTATGGAGTGGTTTAAAGAAGGAGATGGTGATGTACAGTATTACTAGCTATGAAATAGTTTCATGAGCTAATCCTTGCTGAAGTGCGTGAGGTAGTGTTTTCCTGCGTATTTAGGTACCAAACTGAGCGAATCAAGAAAAAAAATACAGTTATAGAAATATTGGATTTCCCCAGATATACGAATTTCTATGTTTAAAATCTCAACATGGGGTCAATGAAGTGGGTTGAGAACCTGAGGTCTCGGGTTCAAATCCAGCAAAGACAAAAACACTGCATGATTTCTTCCCATCTGTCCAAGCATTGGTGGATAGAGTTACTTGGTACATTTTGCTGGTAGGAGGTAGCAGGTATCGTGTGGAATTAGTTGAGGTGCACGCAAGTTGGCCTGAACACCATGGTTTATCAAAAAAAAAGACAAAATCTCAACACGTGGGCTTCAACAGACCAAGGATAATAAGTCACTTGTGCTATCTGCCGACCTGCGTTCTTTGAGCGACTATCTGATCTGCTGGTTTTAGTGGTCTTGGTTTAATACTTGATGTGGTGCATGCACATAATGGTGCTTGCACCGTTGATCCGTATATTTTTGTATACAAACTTTTGCTGGCTGTTTATTAGGAACCTGTGCTATTTCCAATCTCAGATGGATTTGTTATTTATAGGCTTCCAAGACTCCAGTTGCAGCGCGGGCTCTCTAATCAAGGACATAAAGGAGGATGAACTTTTGCCAGAGATCTCCCCCAATGCTGCTCCACAGCCCCTTCTTCCCCTTTTTGCACCTTCTCCATTGGCACCTTTCACAAACAGCACTTTACCCAAATTATCCGGTTTGTTTCAGAAACTAATTACTTTAAACTCTTTAGTCATTAGCTAGAATAAAGTTTTAAGAAGCATACCATTCTTCCTTATCAAAAAAAAGAAGCATACCATTCTTCCATTTTTTGGTGCAACTTGGAGTAATTAAAAGTATAAATACAAGTATGTTCCTCGGACTCCAATGAAATGTCGCCGGGTGCATGTCGGATCCTCCAAAAGTAGTGTATTTTTGAAGGATCCGACACAACTGCGGCAACATTTTGAAGAGTATGCACAAACATAGCACACAACAGTATGTCATTATATATTGATAGGAACAGTTTGCCAATATTATTTTATAAAGAGCTAGTCAGGGCAAAGCAGTATAACAATATGATCTAAACAAACTAATTAAACTTTTACAAGTAATTGTATACCTATATTATCTGTTTTTATAAGAAACGAATTTTATCAAACTCTTTTCGACTTAGCCAGAAAAATATCTTAAAAATGCCAAGACCACGTCCAAATATGCAGCAGCCTAGATTTGGAGAATAGGTTTAAATCCTAACTAGGACAAAAAAACACTAGGTGATTTCTTCCAATATGTGTAAGCTTTGGCGGGTAGAGTTACCCGATACTTGTGCTGGTGGGAGATTGCAGGTACTTGGTGGCATAATCGAGGTGCATGCAAGTTAGCCAAAACACCACCAATTATAAAAAGATACGAAGCAACATAGTTTTAGATAAAAGAATAGACCTTAGGTGGATCTTAGTTTTTCTCTATCCTCTGTCTTCTCTGACTTTTGCTCTCATTCTCTCCAGGACTCTGTACACTGAACTTTGATGCTGTGAAAAGTATGATGGCCGTGACATCAATAGATTGTGTAGCACCATTTGCACAGTATCTGGCTAATGTCATGTGTTGCCCTCAACTGGAAACAACTCTTGTTATTCTTATTGGGCAGTCTAGTAAAAAAACAAATATGCTTGCATTAAATGGGACCCTTGCAAAGCATTGCCTTTCAGATTTTCAGCAACTTTTGGTGAGCCAGGGTGCCAATGATACTTTGCAGCATATATGCTCTCTCCATCCGGCAAATCTTACCGAAGGTTCTTGCCCAGTCAAAGATGTTCGTGAGTTTGAGACGACTGTGGACTCGTCTAGCCTACTTGCTGCCTGTGGCAAGATCGATCTTGTGAATGAATGCTGTGAGCAAACTTGCCAAAATGCTATATCAGAAGCTGCTAAAAAACTTGCACTTAAAGCATATGATCTTTTAAGCATGGATGGATCTCATGTGCTGGCTGATCACACGACCAGAGTTAACGACTGTAAAAGGATTGTACACCGATGGTTGGCAAGTAAACTTGACCCTGCTGGAGCAAAAGATGTTCTTAGAGGACTTTCTAATTGCAAAAACAATAAAGGTGAGGATTACACACCAGTTCTGTTTCATAACGACCTTGACTTTCTCATTGCGTAGTCATTATTCATGAGATATATGCTTAAGTTGATAATGTAACGGGCATCATGCCACGAAACATAGGCATAGATCTGCAAAACGAATAGTTTTGGACATTCTCACCAAAACACTTGCTAAAGAAATTAGAGTCTGATTGCCGTTCTCACCTTCTATCTTTGCATTTCTGTATAGTTATAAATCTACTGATCCTTTTTTTCTTCCCTTTAGTGTGCCCTCTGGCTTTTCCTGGCATGAAAAATATTACAAAGGCTTGTGGGGATGGGATGAATAACCAAACAACATGCTGTAATACTGTTGAGAGGTATGTCTCTCACTTACAAAGGCAGAGCTTTGTCACCAACTTGCAAGCTTTGGATTGTGCTGCCTCACTTGGACTTAAGCTACAGAAAGCCAATGTTAGCAAAAATGTCTACAATCTTTGTCACATTAGCCTCAAGGATTTTTCCGTACAAGGTCAGTTTTTTATTTAGTAGCCAGTTGAAGCGTTGTGCAGTATACAGATGTGTTGAGCTGACGTCAAATTTTGATCTTGTCATGTTTGTGGCATATGGTATCTTCAAATGACTACACTACACCAGTTGCACCAGAAGGTAATCTACCTACTTTACCTGTTCGCAAATCCATTTCTAGACCTCTTTGCTTTTTTCCTTCTTTTTATTCGATAGTTTCATATCAGTTTACCTGCTTTGACAATTAAAACTCCACATAATGAGACATTGAATTTTCTATTATGACAAATGGATAGAGGTTGGTCGAGGTGCTTTGTTACATACGATATATTATGAACTAGACGAACAATGTCGGTGCCAGGATTTGAATTTTTTGGATTCTAAATTCTAGGATAGCAACATAAGGTGTTAGTAACTGGGTTTTGAATTTAATTTTTGTACCTATATAGTAAATTCCTTAATACAATTATAGGATTTAGAGTAAAGCTATTGTCTTCGATCAAACCTGTGTATCGGCTTCTAGCTCCGCCCTTGGACTTTAGCTGTACGACAGAAGAACAATATATTAGATTGGTGGAAACTTTTGTACGTTGTCTAGTGAAGTGTGATGCCGCTTATAAATTGCTTACGGGAAGAAAACTATGTAGTTAGTTACTTAAAAAAAAAGTAATGTATTTACATGCTAATTTCCCTTTGCTAGATAAGGTGCTTGTGTACTGTAGGTCTCTGTCCTATCTTTACCTACTTTTTCTTTTTTATCTTAAATTTTTACAGCATCAATAAGTAATTATTTCCACAACTAGTTTGGGATTGTAGTAGTTAATAATTATTTGTTCTTTTTGTTGGAGTAGTTTCGGGGTGTCTTTTGCCTAGTTTACCGTCGGATGCAATACTGGACCAAAGTACGGGGATCAGCTTTGTTTGCGATTTAAATGACAACATTCCGGCTCCTTGGCCATCTATGTCTCAGTTACCAGCTTCATCATGCAATAAGTGTATGTCGGAACCATTCCTTCTTATTATGTTCAGTTTCCAGAATTTATCTTCTTATATGACTGGTCGCTGATGTACATCACGACTTCTTGCTTTTGCAGCTGTGAGAATTCCTGCACTTCCTGCTGTAGCATCGGGGCAAATCAGTAAGAACATGAACTTACTCATTTGTAATTTTTATTATATTGTAAATACGACAGTTCTTTTTTTCTTTTTCTTTCATCAGTATCAAGTTCTACCTCTCTAAATAAGGACAATACAGAAGAAAATTGAAAAACAGAAGCTAACTGTAAATAGCTTAATCTTGAAGGTTTATCTACATCTTCGTTTTTACGTCATATCTCCTGATAGAAAAGGTGAATCATAATTGGTAAAATGACTGGCATTTATTATTTGCATGACCAGTCGGAATAGTGGACGAAGGAGGTACAACTGTATAAAAAATTCTGATGTTGGATAGTTTTTACACAAACAATATGGCCTAACAGAACCTCTTCTACTTTAAGATCCAGCTAAACCAACAGGCCATGGCTCTTCCTTGTCTACAAAAGTGAGTGTTTATTAAATTCTCTTCTATAAATAATGATACCGCTTACGCAAAATCCAGCCTACGACACTTGGGGGGTGGGGGGGATGGGGTTGGGTTGAGGAGAAACCGGAAACCTTCATTCTTGAATTATTTTGATGGT